CTGACCTCTGCTCCTTGATCCTCCCCTGGTAGGATTCTGAGCACAGAGCCCGCAGCCCACCCCCCTCCTGTCTCCCTGAATCTCTGTGTCCATCTGTCCATTTGCAATAAACTCCAGCCCCAGCTGCCTCTGCTGGTGCCGTGTGTGTCCTGTTGTCTGGAGAGGGGCCTCTCTTCCCAAGTTTGCGAGCGAAAGTCCTTCCTGGGGCCTGATTTCTGTCTTCCTCCGGTTGGGCTGTGCAGACTTCTACCCTTCTCTAGGGGGACCCTTCCTTCCTACTTTGCTCCCATGTAGGTTTCGGTTGGTGTGAGAAGAGACAACCTGCAGTAGGGCAGTTGAAGGTCAGACGGTGTGAAGGACTTCCAGTTGTGCTTGGGGCAGAGGACAAGAGGATACCTGGAGAGAATCACATCTGTCTCCCAGCACAGGAGGTGGAAGAGAGGTGGGGTGATTGTGTGCAGGAACTGGGGTTCTGGGAGTTGCTATTACAGTGGTGTCCAGGACCAGGTCAAGTCACTGTGACCCCTCAGGGTGCTGCTGTGGTGGCTGTGGGGTGTCGAGTCTTTTCTGACCCGGGGCGACCCCACGTGACAGGGTAGGACTGCCCCACAGGGTTTTCTGGGCTGTAAGCTTTATGAGAGCATATTGCCAGGCCTTTCTCCCCCAGAAAGGGGATGGTGTGTTCGAACGGCCAGCCTTTCAGTTACCACTGAGTGCTGCTTCTGAGGCCGTCTTCTCAGAATGCTGCAGGGAGGCTCAGAGGGATGAGGGTGGACGGGGTGGTGGTCGGGTTGCTTTGTCCACCTCAAAGCCAGGGAGGAAGTTATCGAAGCCGGCGGCTGATTTTGAAGAGTTCCACACCCCTGGGACCTGCTGCTGGGAACCAATGCTGGGAAACTCCCAGTCCTGCTCCTGCTGAAGGAGTCAGAGGGGATAGAGGCCCTTCTTCCCCAGGGAGACGGAGGCCTGGCACGCAGGCAGCTGGTCTCTCCAGCCTTCTTCCCCCTTGAACTGGAGACGCTCCCAGGAGTGATGCTGAGCCTCCTCCCTCAGACTAGGACATCTGCAGGAATGGTCGGAGCCGGGAACGGCTGTGACTTCACTTACCTCCCGTCTTACCCTTTATCCCCTCACCACTGCTTCCTCTCCCCGCCAGAGAGGAGACAGACTAAAGGACAACTTTAAAGCCAGCACTCCTTTACAAACAACACAGGCTAGTGGTTAGGCACATTGACTTTGGGGCCAAACTGCCCAGGTTCAAATCTCAGCTCTTCCTCTCCCTAACTGTGTGATTTTGGGCAGACTACTCAACCTCTCTGAGCCTGTAAAATGGAGATGATAGTAGTTCTTATCCCATAGAGTTGCTGAGGATTAAATAAACTAGTGATCAATCTAAGGCCTTTAGAAAAGTGTGGAAAATTCTCTCTCTCCACTTCTTTTACCCCTCAGGGCTTTAAAATCCACAGCTTGGATCCTGGGAGATAAGTCAGCTCAGAGCCCTGGAGCCCAGCCATTGTTGGGTTAGAGGGAGGGACCTCTCCACCTTCTTCCAGCCCTATTTCTCTGTGATGTCTGTCTCTCTTGCCTGTCTTCCTCTCCATCTTCCCCCCCCTCCTCTTTTCCCGTCTTCTCTCTGTCTCTGTCTCCGAACCTTTGTGTCTCTCCCAGAGGTCTCAGTATTGCCTGTCTCTCACCCTGTGTCTCTCTGGTCCCCCATCTTGTCTGTTGTTCTCCCACACATCACTCCCTCCCATCTCCCCTTCCCACTCCTCCCCTCAGCCCCTTCTCCCCACCTCGCTCTCCCTTTCCAGTCCCCCCTGCCTTCTCCATCTCTCCCCCCACTCCCCTGTCTTCGCCCCTCCCTCCATCTCTCTCCCGGTCTTTTTTGGTTGCTGTGTCTTAATCTTTCGCGTATCTATTGGGTGCCTACTATGTGCCAAGGAACTCTAGTGGTACAATGGTTAAAGCATTCAGCTACTAAACAAAATGTGGGCAATTTGAACGCACCATCCTTTCCATGGGAGAAAGATGAGGCAGCCAGCTTGCGAAAAGATTGACAGCCTTGGAAACCCTATGGGGCATTTCCACTCTGTCCTCTAGGGGCGCTGTGAGTCAGAATCCACTCCATGGCAGTGGGTTTGGTTTGGCCTTTGCTTCTGTAAAGATTGACAGCCTTGGAGACCCTGTGGTGCAGTTCCACTCTGTCCTCTAGGGGCGCTGTGAGTCAGAATCCACTCCAGGCAGTGGGTTTGGTTTGGGCTTTGCTTCTGTAAAGATTGACAGCTTTGGAAACCCTATGGGGGCAATTTCCACTCTGTCCTCTAGGGGCGCTGTGAGTCAGAATAGACTTTTTTTTTTTTTATAATACTGTGCTGGGTCTTATTTTAAGCACTGTAGACACAGCAGTGAACAAAACTGGCAAAAATCTCTGCTCCCTGTGGAGCTGACACATTAGTAGGAAGACAGACGAGCAATATGCTTAATACATTAACTACATGTTACGTCAGATTGAAGGAGCTCTGGTAGCGCGGTAGTTAACTTCTCAGCTGCTAACTGCAAGGTTGGCTGTTCAAACCCACCCCATGGCTTTGTGGGAGAAAGACGGGTGATTAGGATTATAGCCGATAAAGAATCCAGACTTGTTGGGCCTCTTGAGGCTGGAGAAGTCCCCAGGACTGTGGTTCTGTGTTGCTTCTCAAATTAAAGGACAAATACTAGTTCATTACTGTAAAAAGTCAAGGAAAGGTTTAAATATGGAAGGAAACTTTCTTTGCTGGTTACGAGTGGCATCAGACTCGACAGCAGTGAGTTTGGG